TATTGAGATGCTTTTTGGAGTTCAATAAATGCCTTAAATATCTATAAGAACAGCCCTCCCAGACGTACATCAGATCTCTTTCCATGAATTCTTGAACAAATAGTCTGTGCGCTGAAGAACTGGATTGAATTATTGGTGGCAAATACGGCAACTTTTTAAGTTTAATAAGACTATCATATATGGAAGGGCCGAGTCGTTGGGCGACCAGAGTTGCAGTGATAACCGCTATGATTACAGGTAATAAGTGTGTCATTTGTCCCGTCACCTCAAATATGATGACCGCCGACGATAGAGCACCTCAATTGGTATACATTGAATTCATTACACCTCAACAACAATCATCTCAATAACAATCACTGTTATTAATATGTATACCTGTGTTGGCGCCGGCAAAAGCCGCAGAACCGGCCACAGCGTAAGCTCCGGCAATGATCGGGAGATCTGTTCTGTCGTAATATGGATTTATTCCCTTTGGAAATATATATGCCATCCATTCTCCGTAAAATCTTTAATTAAAACAAACATCAGTTGCATTATTAGCGTACTTTCAATTACTCTTTATCATAAGCCCATACCTTCCAAGTCCGGCACCGATTTTAAAGCTCGGTATTATAAGACCACTGGGAACAGGTAGTGTTGATCCAAGCGCTACAATCACTAGATTCATGACAAAAAACAAGAATGTAGTCACATATACTGATGTGTTGGGTGTCTTCCAATTATCAATGATTTCGTCTTTATCTATATGATCGGCAATTGTCCCCCACGTATAGTTACTAAACAATTCATGCATTGATTGTTCTGAGGAATACATTAATTTTTATTATCAAATGAGTGTCCAAAATATAAAGTCAAACGTTTAAAACCTGATGAGAGCCACGACCCGTAATACTGTCCAAAAGCTGGTGGGAATGATACGAGACATATAATGGTTGTGACCAAAACCGGGTATATAAGAGGATATCGTTGAAGAATTATATGAAAAGTGGTTCGCTTTCTATTGAAGAGCACGATATGGCGCTGAAGAGTGACAAATAGAAAGGCACTGATGCCCGCGAATACACCCAAAATGGCAAATGAGATTAATTCCAACGTCTCGTATGGATATTCTCTGCGAAAATTGGTTTTAAACAAATGAGTGATATTGTCCTCCATATGAGACCAAACAGTGAAGAGTCGCCAGAAGAGAGCGCCGATAGTGGCGGCAAAGAATCCCATCCAATACGACCGCACGGAGAAGAATACAGAAACGATTTCTATGCTATACAACACTCCACCGACTTTTAAATTTGATAATTATATAAAATATTTTAATCACATTACGTGTAAGATTATGATTAAATAATAAAATAACCTGGAGCTGCAAAAGTAGTGGCCACACCGACAGCACACGCAACAGCTATCAGCTAATTATAACACATTTAAAAATCTTAAACTTTGGTAAAGTTTGCAATAAATTTGATTACATCTAGAAATCTGGACTCGTATTCATTCTGACTTCGGATGGGAAATAGTTTAATGAGTTGATTGGTTACCATCGCTGCCATGTGAACAAACCTTACATTCGGTTATAAATGTCAAGAACTCAATTATTTGCATTAAATTAAAATAATGTACTTATACTTGTATGTACGTTAATATTTTACTGATTGTACAAAAAATTAAATGAAGCAAATGTAGTAAAATATAAAATATAGAATATCTATTGTAAAGTGATTATAATTAAATAATTTATGTGAAATAAGAGTACATACGGTCCTTCTTTGCCGAGGGGTAATCCACTACCTATTCATTGAGGATATTATAGTTTAAATGGAAATAAAATACAGATTAATAATCTTAGATTATTTTTATGAAAGTTGATAACATATAAAATACCCAAAACAAAAGGAAGTCCTATAACTTTGGCAATTAATGTCTTAAATGAAAGGTACTCTAGAATTGAGAAATTTTTCTTAAATAATCTTTTTGACCCATTAATTGCAATATAAATGCAGACCTTTTAACACAACTCCTCGTAAAATGACCTATAATTTGGAGTACAATTTAAAAACCTTACATAAATGAGTGAACACATGAACAGACCTTCATCTCTCCGACACCACTTCCAGCCGCCTGTGGGGACACATATCGCACAAATATGGCTGAAGACAAGATGAGACACACACTGAATGCTATCCATAGAAGATATTTGT